GTCCTTCTGTGTCAGTGATAAACTCTTCTAGCTGCTTGATTCCCTCCTGCTCCAGCAAGCTCAGCCTGGACAGGAGGAATCTCTCTTCCTCTTCCAGTCTCTGGCGCACATGTTTAAATTCCTCAAGGATCTTTAGTCTCTCTAGATGTACCTGGGCCTGGAGATAAGGGAAGGGATACAGAGATGAGGAAGGAATGAGACAGGATCCTCCAAGCTTCCTTTAAGCCCATCATTCACTTTTTAAATCAATCAACCATCAACCAATCAATCAATTAACTAATTACAGGCAAAGTCTCACTATATAGTTCTGGATAGCGAGGAACTGACTCTAAGAACAACAGGTTGGCCTTGTATTCATAGAGATCCACCTGTCTCTGCCTCCTAAGTGCTGGAATCAAGGGCATGCACCATCTGGAACCATTCACTCTTTAGGAGTATGTAAGGATTATTCTGAGACCAGTTTAGAACAGATTGCTAAATCTTACCTGTGGGAAAGGGGGAGGGACAAGGAGATCAAAGCACTTCCTGTGTTCAAGGATTTAGGCTCAAAGACTTTTTTTTTTTTTACCTTCAAGGACATCAGCCAGATGCACAACTAAGAAATCTTAGCACTTGGGAAGTGCAGACAGGAGATGACGGAAGCCAAGGCCAGCCTCCATTCAGGGCCAGCCTGGACTACTTGGGCCACTCTCTCGACAAACAAACAAAGTCATAGAAAACCCAGGATAAGGTTGTAGTTCAGATGACAGGGTGCTTGCTTAGGCATGCACTAATATTATTAACATGTATGTAGTCCTGGATTTCATTCTCAGCACTGCATAGTCTGGGAATGCATTTATAGTCCTGTAATTCCAGTACTGGGGGAAAGACAAAAGGATCAGAAGATCAAGGCTATCCTTTTTCTGTATAACAATTTCTAGCTAGTGCTACGTAAGATCTGTGCCTAGGAGCTGGAGATATGGCTCAGTAAGGGACTTTGTTGCTCTTGCGAAGGACTCTGATTCAATTCCCAGAACTCACACAGTTGCTCACAACCATCCTAACTCCAGTTCCAGGGATCCAGTGCCGTCTCTGATCTCCATGATCTCCATGGGTACCAGACATGCACATGGTAGACATACATACATGGAGGCAAAGCATTCATTCACATAAAATTAAATCTAAAAACAAGTAAATAAAAGATTCTTAAAGTTCATTGGGGAAGAACATGAATGAAAGAAAGAGAGATGGAAAGAGAGAAAGGAGAGAGAGAGAGAGAGAGAGAGAGAGAGAGAGAGAGAGAGAGAGAG